TCACCTTTTTTATGTAACGGGCATATCACGCCTTGAGACCATTCACAAGGCATGGTCTCTTTATGCCAAACAAGAAGTAAAAGCTTATGCAGTGTCTGTAGTAGGGCATCGCCACCATTCTTGTAAAGCTCACTGCAAATTTGATCAACTCCTGGTGATTTATTATTTTTAAGCTTTTTAATGGCTTGGGCAACGTTTTCTATGGTAGGTGGTCTTTCGTTTGGGTTGAAAGGATTCCAATTATTTCGATTTGCTAGGGTGTTATCTGCTTCTTCGATATGATGGCCATTAAATTTTGCATCGAAAAATTCAACCCATCTGTTTAGGATTGAGGCCGTATCATTAAAACAAAAATACAATTTAAAAAATATATTTATTTAGTTCAAATCAATGTTTCAATCATACAAAATACGACACTGGTCGGCCAAAATACATTTATAATCGGATTATAAGGTTGACCGCTGTATTGTATTACTGCAGATACAAGGTGGGTTAGTCGAAAACATCTTAAACCGTCAGTTTCAGGTTGGTTTTTACTATTATATCGTATTACCTATCCTCTCTGTATTTCAGTTCTCTAATTAGGATTAAACTTGTAGTGAGCTATCAACAAATTGTGAACCGAGTATATACTATATAATTAAATAAGATCCTATAATAATACAATAATAAAAATATTGAATGTACAATAAGTAAATAAATACTAAATACTTTCCCAATCATTCTTCCCCTTCACAAACGAATGTTTTTAAGAACAGCTGAAAGTATACATTGACACGTATGGATGGGAATGAAAAGATCGATATACTAATAAAGAATTAAGTAAAAATAAAATATGGGTTGACAAATAAGCGGTGAGCATATTTTGATCACAGGACATTGTTGAATGCCATCTGAAACTGTACACAGAAAAGAAAATCGTCGAATCAGTAGAATTTTTCGACCTACTCAACTAGAAAAACTGTGTCAAACGAAAAATATGTCAAAATGTCTGAGCCAAAGCCTTGAAAATAAACGAGGATGGTTGTTGACGCAACTGCCTAGCGGAAAACCATCAAGCCTTAAAAACTGAGTTAGTGTTCATTGCAGAGAGCGAGTAGGTAAGAAAGAATAACTTCCTAACATACCGTTCTCAGGACCGTTCCTAACAAAATGGTGTTAAAATTCGAAAAGTGTTGAAATTACATAAGTTTCACCCGTACAAAACCCAAATTCTTCAAGAACTAGGCGATGATGATCCAGACCGACGAATTGAGTTTTGTGAACTCATGACTGAAAGAATTCGCGTTGAACCGAGAATGTTGAAAAATATTAGTTTTACCGATGAATGTACTTTTATGCTGAATCGTAATGTAAATAAACAAAAATGTCGGTACTAGAGTGATGCGAACCCGCATCGATTCAGAGAAGGTCTCACTCAATATCCTGAAAAACTGAATTTTTGGGCAATAATATTAGCCGATGCTATATTTGGCCCCTTGTTCATATCAGGCAATTTAGGTAGAACATTTATCTCGATATGCTGGAAAACACCATCGAACCTTAAATTGTGCATGAATTAGATAACCAAAGGGGCGATCAAGGCAACCTAGCTCTAGACAAATATTTGCTACACTTCCAACAAGATGGAGCACCTCTTTACTATGCAGTTCCTGTTAGGCACTGGTTGCCGGTTGGATACTAATTATCCGAACAAATGGATTAGAATGGCCTATTGAATGGCCACCGAGGTCACCAGACTTACCGTCACCAGACTTACCGTCACCTTACTTTTTTCTATGGGGTTACCTTAAGTCAGTTGTTTATAAAACTCAACCTGCGTCACTTGAGGAATTGCGAGAAAGCAATTCGCGCTATTACTAGAACAACATTTGCCAAAGTGCGTGCAGAATTTGAAAATAGGCTGTATTATTGTTTACAAAACCACGGAATCCACTTTGAACATTTTCTTAATTGACATTTTTATAGTTCAACAAAAACCTCTTTAAATTTTTCATTTAAGCCAAAGTTTCACAATTATTGCTTCACCGTGTATAATTATTATTTATACCATTGGATAGCATTTTGTATAGTCTTTTCAATAATGTATCACAAATAGGGGTTTGCAATTTAAACTTTTTTGGTTGTGGTGGATGGGGCCTAGGAGGTTGATGGGGGTGAGTTGTCTTTCATGAAATTTTAGTTCCCCCTTACTATCCTAGAAAAGGTTTTAAGCATTTTTCGATATCAGCTTTTGTTCGTGAGATATAGCCCATTGTAGAATTGAAAAGCATCTGCTGAATAAAACCAGTAGTTTACGTAAAAAAATAGATACTGTTTCAAATGTCAATATACACATATTTTTCCAACTCATGACGCACACACCAGAGTTAATAAAAAGTCAATATTTATTTAAATTTACTTTGTTCCAAAACAATACAGTAAACGATATTTTTACGGTTTAACACCGTGCAACAGATAACAATTATCTTCAAACACTTAATGTTACATTTTTGGTAATTTTCCGTTTCATTAATTTTAAATATAGGTATAAACGCAAAGAAAATATTTACATATTCATTTTTAGATCATTAGCATACTTCCCCCAGTGAACTCGTATTTAATTTGATGAATAAGTATGTAGGATGACTAGAACTGGATTCAAACACCGCGAGAATTTCCATTTTACTTTACGTTTACGTTCAGGTAGTGCCTTGTCGCATAATGACTTTTTAATATCTTTTTCTTCAAGTGCTGTCTTTCAAGAATGTCGACAATTAATTACATGATCATTAGATTATATAGTGCTTCTCGAAATAGAAATCTGGTACGAATTCCACACCTTTAACGCGAATTCTTCAGCCACGATGTTTTTTCTACCTCGAAGGATTATGCCGTTAATTTTTCTATCGACTAATTACACTGCTCTACAAACATATTATACACTGCTGTATAAAAGTGTCGATACTTCTATCGCTACGAAACACAGCAATCAAGACAACGCAATAAAACCTGAAGACTACGCTAGTTATACTGGAAGAATGGTATATCTATTGGGAAATAGCGTTAAACCTAGAGAAAGTGAAAGCCATAGTTTATTTGACCAACTTAATAAACGCTGTATTACATACACACTCGGCACCCGAGCGCGCAACACAACAATAATGCTTCAGTATGTCAGTAAAGACGGTTACATGATCATAGCGCCTCATGGTGTCCTGTACATTACGCGAAGACGTCATATCTTCTTCTTCTCTTCTTCTTTTTATATGAACATGACTTTGTCTGTTTTTCAATGTGCCTCCAGTAAGTTGTCGTTCCATCGTTTTCGTGGTCTTCCTACTGATCGTCTTCCTATTGGGTAACCGCCTCTTGCCGTCTTTACTACTCTATTTGTTGTCATTCGGCTTATATGATCGTTCCATTCTACTCTTCTATTTCTTACCCAGTCCTTGATGTTCTCCACCTTGCATCTACTTCGTATATCTGTACTTCTAGCTCTGTCCCATAGTGTCTTATCATCAATTTTTCAAGTGTTTTTATTTCTGCTGTTTCTAACATCCTTTTTGTCCTATCTGTAGCAAGTCTTGTTTCTGCTGCGTATGCCATTATTGGTCTGATGACTGTTTTGTAAATTCTGCCTTGCGTTTATTTTCCGATATTTTTATTTCTCCATATTGTTTCATTTAGGCAGCCTGCGCTCTGTTTGCTCTATTCACTTGATCTTCCACTTCGGTTTCGAGCTTTCCGTAGCTAGATAATTTGATGCCTAGATATTTAAACTCCATCACTTGTTCTATTATCTGACCTTCCAGCTCCAATTTACATCTTAGTAAATTTGCTGTTGTAACTATGCATTTTGTCTTTTTTGGGGAAATTGACATGTTAAATTTTCTGGCGGTTATAGATATAAAATTGGTGCAGCATACGTTGTAAATCATCTTCACTTTGAGAGAGTAGTATTGTGTTGTCTGCATATCAGATTATTTTAAGTTGTTTTTCTCCCATTTGGTATCCTTTTTTAGTTCTTACTTTTTTTATTATTTCATCCATAATCAGGTTGTACAATAGAGTACTCAATGAATCTCCCTGTCTTACTCCATTTCCAGCTTCAATAGGGTCGGTGAGATCTTCTTCTACTTTTACATTTATTGTGTTGATTTGGTAGATATTTTCGATCGTTTTGATTATTCCTAGAGGTATCTCCCTTGCGTACCGTAAGTGGATAACGTCTTTTAATTTGATCCAGTCAAATGCCTTTGTAAGGTCCACTAAACATAGATATGCCGGTTTGTTGTGTCCTAATGATTTTTCTTGCACTTGCCTCATTATAAATATAGCGTCGGTGCAGGATCTTCCCGACATAAAACCTTGTTGTTCTTCTGCTAGTGTTATCATTTCATTCAATTTATTTGTTATCACTTTGGTTGTTAATTTTAGTGTTGTGTTTAATAAATCAATTCGTCTCTAATTTTCCGGGTCCGATTTGCAGTCATAAAAGATAAAATCGAGGAAAAGCGAACATGGCAGATGAACAACAAGGCTTCCGGAAGAACCGCAGCACAATAGACGCAATTTTTATTATCAGACAAATGATAAAGAAGTCTATTGGATATGGAAAACCAGCATACATGTGCTCTATAGATTTAAAAAGTGCTTTTGACAAGGTGAAGCGAAATGACATCTTAAATTTATTACAAGCTGAACAAATAAACCATCAGATAATAAGGACAATTAATGAAATTAACAAGAACAACAAGACCAGAGTTATAATGCCAACAGGAGAAACAGAATGCATAGAACTAAAACGAGGAATCCGCCAAGGAGATTCGCTCAGACCATTGTTATTCAATATAGTAATGAATCAAATAATTCACGAAGTAAGAAAACGACACGGATACCACATGGGAGCGCATAAAATCACGATACTATGCTATACCGATGATGCAGTACTAATTACTGATAACGAAGATGACGTACAAAGGCAGCTCCACACCTTCAATATCACAGCAAACAAACTTAATATGAGAATATCAGTAGAAAAACCTAAATGTATAGTGATCAGTAAAGAGCCGCGTAGATGCAAACTAGAAATAGACGGCAAAATTGTAGAACAGAAGCATCAAAAGCGGCAAGAGTAAGTGGTTGTCTACGAGAAACCATACGGAAAAACAAATATCTGACCATGGAAAGCAAAATGAAAGTATACAAGACAACAGTAAGACCAATCCTAACATATGCAGCGAAGACAAGGACCGATACAAGAAAGACGAAACAACAAATAAACAATATCGAAATGAAAGTATTAAGATCAATAGCGGGCATATCATTAAGAGACAGACAAAGCAACAGAAGTATACGCGAACAATGCAAAATTCAAAATATTAACAGGTGGATAAAAACAAGAAAAAAAAACTGGAACGAACATGTAAACCGAATGGGACCAGATATATTAGCGAACATCTGTAAAAACAACAAACCGTATAGCAGAAGACCCGTTGGAAGAAAAAGGTGGAAAGATAATGTACAGTCAACAACGACTGAAACAGAAGAGATAGACAAACGGGAGTAATTCTAGTCGCACGAAGAAGAAGATTTATCTCCCTTGTTGAAGAAAGTTATTAGAATGCTTGATCTCCATTCATGAGGAATTTTGTTTTGTTCTATTATTTTTTTGATTAGTTTTAATAGTTGTTTGGTTAGATCTGGTCCTCTGTACTTTAGGAGTTCGTTCGATATTCTGTTCTCTCCTGGTGATTTTCTATTTTTTTAATTTCCTTAATGCTTTTACTCTTTACCCTTTACCTCGTCCTCCTCAATATTTATTTCTTCGATTGTCGTCACCTCTGGTGTTGGTGGATCATTATCGTCACCTTTAGCAAATAGGGATCGAAAGTAGTCTACCCATGTTTCCTTCTGAATGTGTTTCGTTTTTATTAGTTCGTTCATCTCTTTTCTTTGTCCTCTGATCATTCTCCATATTTCTTTTTGTGTTCCGTAGAAGTCATGTTTCATCTGTTTTGAGAAACTCTGCCAGTGTTCCTTTTTTATTTTCTAACTAAAGTATTCGTTTCATTTCTGATTCGTTTATAGTGGTTGTATGCCTGTTGTGTTTGTTGTGTTCTGTATTGTAAAAAGGCTTTCTTCTTTTCTCCACATTTTGTCTTCACTTCCTTTTTAAACCATGGTGTTTTCTTTTTTGAAACAAATAACAAAAAAAAACAAAAGAAAAAGACGTGATATTATGAGGCTCCTTTTCCCACGATTCTCATATGACGTGAAAACTTTGATGAAATTAGTCCCCCCACGGTATAACAGTACGTGTGAAGAAGGTGTCTGAGGAACGTTAAAGCTGGAGGGTTCGTTCCTGGCTTCATCATATTTCTACTGTGCATACGTACTTGCGTTTAATAGCCCAATTGCTTTCCAGACCAGTCAATAGTTTTTCTACTGTTGGAACAAGAAGTTATCACAATTCTAGAATGTCATTGTCATTCACATCCTTGATTATGTGCACTCTAACAATAACCAAATCGTTGGTATCTCTCACAACATAGTTTAGCACCCTGATACCCAGAGTTGCCACTTCTTCATATACTTCTATGACAACGTGGTCAGCACTCTATGTATGTTCACTCCCTTTTATAATATGTTATTTATGTCCGTCCCACTTTGTAGATACTATTTTATGTACATAACATGAATATGTACAAAATTGCGATCATTATTTATTTTGGTTCCAGGATCTCGCTGTTTTTCGTTTTTTTTTTTAATTTCCTTCAGTACTACGTGCAGTTCATTCACAATTATTTCAAATGACTCCATGTATACATAGAATTAACAGCCACGGGTGTACTGTTACTACCTGCACGCTGGTATATACCGGGTGGTGAATCGTCAAACGGACCATAGGAAACTCAATGAGAAATTTTAAATTGTTGAATTGCTGCTTCCCTAATTATTTTAGATCAAAAGTCATAAAAAACTATTTGTAGAGGACTAAAATCTGAATTAAAAACAAATATTAAAACCATTCTACGACTCAAATGTACTTAAAAATTTTGCAAAAATATAATACATTTTTCAGGCCACCCCTAAAAGTTAGGCCACACGTAATGCAAGAATATATTTAGGACGTTTGTGTTTTATCATATTTATGTCAGATGTTTGACAATTTGAATTGTCAATTTTTTTATTTTATGATTAAATTATAAACAATGAATTTTACTAAATACTACTACTAATGAACATTATTACTTTGTGAACAATAAATTATATTGTTTACAAATCGATCAATATAATGAAATGTACTCAGTTGACGAAAAATCGCGTAATGTTGTATTCAGGCAATAGCGCGAACCTTTTCCTGCCACTACCGGATCTTTATTTAACGTAAGATATTCTAATTCACTAAAATTTAATTCCATGTTAAAATAAGTTATACAACAATTCAATGAATTCCAATATACTGTTACTGTGATCTTTATTCCTAATAATAATATATGATAATTTCTAAACATAAAACTATAACAAATGTTATAATAAAACATTTTTATTATTGATTTTTTCTTCTCAATTGAGTACATTTTTTAATCAACTTAATTTTTTTTAACAATAAATCACAAAATTTTGGCCATTTAAATCATAGATAAATGTAATATAATTGATTTAAATATTGTCAAATATCAGAAACAATAATATGACAAAACGCAACACGTAATACACATTTTTTCACAGAAAAATGTATTATATTTTAGCAAAATTTTGGAATACGTTTAAGTCGTAGAATAATTTTAACAGTTGTTTTCGATACATATTTGAGTCCTCTACAAATAGTTTCCCATGACTTTTGGTGTAAAATAATTAGGGAAGCAGGAATTCAACAATTTAGAATTTCCCATTGAGTTTCCTATGGCCCGTTTGACGATTCACCACCCTGTATACCGGACAGAAGAACATATTAAAAAAAAACTTTTCTCCAAGTACCAATCACAACGTTTAATATGAACTGTTTTTAGGTTACCGTATCCAGCAATATTTGGTGGAGTCTCAGCTATTAGCACCGAACATTTTAAATTATTAAACGGCTTTTCGAATTCATTCTGGGGATGGGGCGGAGAGGATGACGACATGTCCAACCGAATTAGGTATCACCATCTTCACATTTCAAGATATCCCGTGACCATAGCTCGGTACACAATGTTAACGCACAAGAAGGATACTCCTAGTTCGACTCGGTAAGTGATAAGTAATGTTGAATAAGATATTAGTGATAATTTTTCAGGAATTTCTCATATTCGAGGAAGTTACTCGAGTGAGATGTTAGTTTTAAAAACGTTTCTCAAGGAAAGCTTTAAAAATTGCTCATTAGATTAGATTAGTTTAGGTTAGGTTAACTATTATAAAAAATATTAAAATAGCAACCTTTCTACAACACTGGCAAGGACTTGTGATCGCCAAACAAACCATATATCTCATATATGTCTAGAACCATATCTTTCCTTTCCTTATCACCATACTACTTGACTGCCGACCATTCAGCTGCAACTCGAAAATTGTCCTAAAACTCAAAATTATTAAGAGGGCTATAATGGAAGTACATTCTTACTGAGTATGGTAGCTCCTTAGGTATTTGATAATTTCTGCATCCACATCATTTAGTTCTGTGCTCAATTTTCGAGGATATATGTTAATTGTCATATTTATGTTGAAATTTTTCAATCGACAAAGTGCTGCTACATCTATAAACTATAGCGAATGTGTTTTATCGATTTTTATATCTAAAAAAATAATAAAAAAATATTTAAATAAGGACCTTTATACAGGAATGGCAAAAATTTGTGATCACCAAACTAACCATATATCTTATATATCTCCAACCATATACCACTGCGGTTTGATAAGTACTTAAACTCATGAGATGGATGACGCCACCATCGCAAGAGAAATTTACTATAAAAAAATAATTGTAGTAGTTTAGTAAATACAGAATTAAAAAAGCAAAATAAGAAAGGTTAAAAGAACAATGCGCAGAAATAGAAGAATACCAGAAAAGACATGATAGTTTTAACACACATAAATAATTAAAGAATTAACTCACAACAATAGAACAAGAAAACCGGGAACACTGAAAGTTGCAAATGGGAAACTTGTGTTGAATACTAACGACAAATTAAAGAGATGAACAGAATACATCAATGAACTGTTCAAAGACAATAGAACAGCTCAGATGGAGATAGAAGTAGAAGAGGATATGGTTTTAAAGATATTAAAAGAGAAAATTAAAATGGCATTAAAAAACAGCAAAAGTGGTAAAGCAGTAGGTCCAGACCAAATCCCTATAGAAATCTTAAAATGCATGAAACCTTAGACATTATAGTAGACTTATTTAACTCAGTATACAAAACAGGACACATACCAAAACAATGGTTAATCTCCACCTTTTGTGCTATCCCTAAAAATACACACGCTAAATATTGCAGTGAATACAGAACAATATCACTAATAAGTCACATTCTCAAATTATGGTGGAAAATAATACATGGTCGTATAAATAAAAAACTGGAAGAAATAATAGATGATAGTCAGTTTGGGTTCAGAAACGGACTAGGAACCAGAGAAGTGTTATTTGCTTTTAATGTGTTAGCTCAAAGATGCATGGATATGAATGTTGATGTGTATGTTTGTTACGTTGATTTTGAAAAAGCATTTGACAAAGTAACACATGAAAAATGAGTCAAAATTCTAAAGACAAAAAACATAGACCAAAGAGAATTACGAATAATAACAAACCTCTACTGGAATCAAAGAGCACAAATCGTAATAGATAATGAACCCAGCCCAGAAATTGAAATCAGGATAGGAGTTAGTAAGGTATGTATTATGTCCCCATTACTATTTAATGTATATAGTGAAGCCATTTTTGAAGAAGCATTACTATCTCAAAGTGAAGGAATAATAATTAACGGAAGATCTATTAACAACATAAGATATGCAGATTACACCGTGATTGTGGCAAGATCTGCTGAATAACTCCAATTACTGCTAAACAAAACAGTTTCTGTGAAAAATATGGACTAAAAATGAATATAAAGAAGACCAAATACATGATAATAACAAAGAAAACAAATATACCAACAAACATACATTTGGGAAATGTACCGATAGAAAGGATTGATAAATACAAATACCTAGGAACATGTATTTCAGACAATAATGATCAAACAACTGAAATAAGAGCCAGGATAGAAATAGCAAGAAATGCGTTTGTAAAAATGAAAACAATTATCTGCAACAAAGACATTAGATTAGAACTGAGAGTAAGAGCACTGAGATGCTAGGTGTTTTCGATACTGCAATATGGACTTGAAAGCTGGACATTGAAGCAAGAACACGTAAATAAGTTACAGTCCTTTGAAATGTGGTGTTACAGGAGGATACTTAGAATAGCATGGACACAGAAGAAAACTAACACGGAAGTATTGCGAGAAATGGACAAAGAATGCGAAATAATTAACACAATAAAAATAAGAAAGTTACAATGTCTGTTATTAGAATTAAAATTAGATTGTAAGGGACTGCTTTAAATGCAGTTCTATAGAACTCTTCAGAGCAGCAGTAGATAAAGTAAAGATAGTGATGATGATATCCAACCTCCGATTGGGAGACGACACTTAAAGAAGAAGTAGTCTAGTATATTCTCGTGGACTGATAATGTAAAAATCTCAATCGAATTGGACTCGTAGTTTTGTTTTCGTTCGTCGGACGCATGGACGTATAAATAAAGATATACGACCAATGTCGGAATCTTTTCCTTCGATAACGACCATCAAAAATTGGTTTAATGAGTTTCAAAGTGGTTGCACGTAGGTTTTTGACGACCACACACAGGTGTCTATGAAAACGGTTACCACTGAGCGAGTGGATCTCAAATCTTCCAAAGACCGCTTGGGTCATATCCTACATGAAAGTTTGGGAATAACAAAGCTGTTGGTGGACAGAAATTGGAATCGAATCAGGTCATCGCCGCCAGGAAGGGCTACTTTGCAGACCCCGTAAAATTAATTTTTCCGGTGGGTTAAGGAAGTTGAGCATCACTGAGTGTAGTGGATCAAGATAAAAGGAGGCTGTGTTGAAAAATAAATCGCCACTTTTCCGAAATTTTCCTTTTTCTTTTGTAAGCTAAGTACTTATCAAACCGGCCTCGTATTTCGTGTCTTTAACGAATACCACTTGACTGCAGCCTATCCAGCTGCAACTCAAAAATGATCTTAAAATGAAAGTGGTTTTAGTAAGGTTCAACATACATTTAACTCATAGAAATCTTTTAATTCAACAATGAGTGGATTTCCTACACAATTTGCAACGAAGATAGGACACTATTCAGCCCTTAAATAACCCTTTGCTGCCTTTATACAGTCTTCCAGCAAACAATAAACACATACAAGGCGAACAGTATTTTAAATGAAACTTTTTATGAACATTTAGGCACCAGTAATTATACTTTGTTTTCAAAATCAATACTCATCAAATATTAGTAGCATCCATCGATTAATCTTCTGTATTTGTAGGTACGAGATCCTTAAACAAGGCCAACAAAAATACGACAAAGACGGATTGAACAGTTTAAAATTCAAGCTAATTACCAAGAAGCTGACTCCTTTATATTCTTGGGTCTTTGTAAACATTGAACCGCTTAGTTGATGATCACATTAGGCGTAATAGAGTGTTCAATTAGTGAGATTTAATTGTGATGTAGCGAAAGGATGTAAAACGCAGAATCAGTCATACAATAATTTATAAGCAAAACCGTATCTTAATTAGGTTAATATTTCGATATACAGTGGGCGATTAGATTATTGGAGCTACAAAATAAAATGCAATTTATAGGTGCAGAAATATTAAATTTGCATTTTCCTTCAAGGATGTTTCCAATGTTTCAAAGCAATATATTAAATATACTAAAAATTAGGAATAATTGGTAAAGTGAGTGTGAGAGCCCTGACACAACAAATCATTTGAGTTATAAAAAAAGTTCATTTTATCAAGTGGCTCTAATAGTTTGACCACCCATTGTAATTAATTAATTAAAGCGGTGACTTAATGATGTTTTAAAATTTTGTAATAAAACGCTGATTTTGGATAGTTTTTCACTTGATTCTGTTAAATGTAGAAATCCGTCTTATTAAACTACCTTAAACAAATATTTCCAGCAAAGAGACTGCAGTGGTTTTATATGTAAAGTAATAAGAGGTTTTTACGTATAAATTTGAAATATGCGTACGATAAGTTTCTACGTGCATTCTATAAATTTTCGTGATTTTAAACTAACTATGTAAAGTATATTTGTTGCAACTTTGCACGTTGGGATTTAAAAGGAGTCTTTGATAAATGACGACGTGATTATTACATAAATACATATGTTGAATTATCCTCCCCTAAATGCTGGTACTTCGTGAAAAACATTTTCGTTAACATTTTACGCAAATTCCACTTAATTGTTCGTGATTATCACGTAATTCGGTCCAAATCAGTTAGGGTCACCCATGGAACATGGACGTATAAATTTATACGTCCATGGGGTCACGGACGTATAAATTTATACGTCCATGGGGTCACCTAGTGTTATTGTGTCGTAAAAATATGCAAATTTGATTTTAAAATAAAAAAAATGTTTTTAATTGAACGGATTCAGATTTTTAATGAAGACTTAAGTCTACTTGAGACCTAAATGAGTCCTGACCACCAAACATGCTATCCCAAATTCTCTTACCCTTATGAATTATTGCAGGGGGTAGAATTTCCCCTTTAGCATTTCCACATGCCAAGACTGTTGTTGTCTCTCTTTCGCTATCGCCAGTTAATCTTTTCTCAGGCTGACCTTCCTTGCATACAATTTTGGTTGAGCTAGGATCACTATTAAACGCAGTTTCATCACAGTTCCAACGAGCTTCAGGCTTGTTTTCTAGACCTAAATCATGGATAAGTTCACCAAGCAGGTCAGAAAAATAATTACCAATAAAAGGATCTCCGGCTTGTCTTGAACGAGAACCCTCTAAACGTTCGGGTTTTTCAAGAGAAATTTTATTACGATCTTTAAAATTTCTCCACCAATCATCCCGGGTCGACCATTTTTAAAAGAGACAGTAAGGTTGTTTTTCTGAACGAATCCCTGCACAATATTTTTCACCTCTTCTTTGGTGAGTCCAAAACCCCATTTATTCATTAGACTTAGATATTAAACAAGTCGTTCTTCATAAATTGCGGAAATTGCTGGACTTTTTCCACCACTACCAGAATTTATTGTAGATGTCCTTGGTTTTCTTCCACCCCATCTTTTAGTTTAAAATATTAAGGTAGATCTTGGAATCTTATAATGTTGAGATGCTTGGTAAGCTGACATTTGCCCTGATGAAACGTTGGTTATTGCTTGGTTTAAACTTTCTTGTGTCCATCTTCCGCCTTGTAAACCCTTATTTGATTTCCTCTTATAGACTCGAGGTAGTTGCTATTGAACAAATAAAGGTACATTAATACATAATATGTTACATGCCTTTTGTTGTATTTTAATCGCTAAAACACACCATATAACATAAACAATAACGGTTGCAAATTACTGTCAACCATAACCTGATCAAACTAAGATAGTAAGTGGTGATAGTGTGATATGTCACACTGTTTCACTGTTACAGACACCCCACAGTGTGAAAATCTGTGGGGTTACTATGACATACCTAAAAAAATAATAGTTAAAGACAATTAGGCCTTTAACATAAGTTTAAATGTTTACAATAAGTGATGCAATATCATGCAGAGAAAAGATCATAATTAAATAGAAATGATTTTGAAGAAATCTAAAATTTGGACTGATATATCAGAATTTCAAATTCGAATTAAAATAAATACATAAATAAATACTATGATTTTAGCCTAAAAAAAATAGTATTTAGTGTTGTCACACTAACACCGCTGTCACACTAACCCTAGGTTGCCCTAATTATACTTGATCAATTATTTATATATCGTACTCTCGACGTGGTAGAATTGTTACAAGAATTCTTTAAATTAGTACGTGATAATAACGTAAGTAAGTTAACTATCTCCGCCAAAATGATGCTTTCTGATCTAAAATTGCTTAAAGACATTTATAATAACCTTCTCTGTGAATTCCAATTTTGCGCCCAAATTGTACACGGTATACGAGTTTTATTTAAAGTATTACGTGATTGCACCTGAAATGGTGCTTTTTCTATCTTGCATCCAAAATCCCTGAAAGACATTAACATTAACATTTTATGTGAATTTCAACTGAGTGGCGACCAAAATCTACATGTTTTCGTTAGTTTTCTTTAAATTATTACGTGATTATGTAAATAAGTTGATTTTCCTCTAGGAAATAGTGCTTTTTGATCTAAAATCACCTAAAAGCATTTACAATATCATTCTGTTTGAATTCCAACTTAGTTGCCCCCAAATTTTAGTTTTCTTTAAATTATTACGTATCGTAAATAAATTTATCTTTAAATTATTACGTGATTGCAATATAAATAAGTTTATTTTTCTCTCTGAAATGTTTTTTTATCTAAAATCGATAATAGGTGGTTACAATAATATTCTATGTGAATTGAAACTTAATTTTATCCAAATTCTACATTGTATTCGAGTTTTCTTTAAGTTATTACGCGATTATTATGCAAATAAATTAATTTTCCTCTTTTAAATACTGCTTTTTAGCTTAAAACAGTTAAAAGGCATTTACAAAAACATGTGAATTTCAAGTTAATTTACATAATTTTCGAATTTTCTACGATCTTACTTCAAATTATTACGTGATTATTGTGTAATTAAGTTGACGTTCCTCTTTGAAGTGGTGTTCTTTGATCTAAGATCGCTGAAAGGCATATATAATAACATTCTATGTAAATTCTAACTTAATTTTACTTAAATTGTATATGATACTCCAGTGTTTGCTTTAAATTATTACGTGATTATTTCGTAAATAAATTGAATTTCCTCTCTTAAATGCTGCTTTTTGATTTAAAATAGTTGAAAGGCAATTACAATAATATTTCATGTAAATTTCAACTTAATTGCCCTGTAAATTGTAAGTTTACAAGATTTTTTTAAGAAGGGTTTTCTGCGAGTTTTCTTTAAATTATTACCTGATTATTATGAAAATGAGTTGATTTTCCTTTCTGAAACGTTGCTTTTCACATTCTGTGTGAATTTCAACGTAATTGCGCTCAAATTGTACATGAACTGGTGCTTTTTTAATCTAAAATCGCTGAAAGGCACTTGCAATAACATTCTAATGTATTCCATATTATTGACGCCCTGATTGTACGTGATTTTCGAGTTTTCTTTAAATTATTACGTGATTATTACGTAAATATATTGATATTCTTCCCTTAAATGCTGCTTTGTGATTTAAAATAGTTTGAAGGCATTTTAAAAAACATTGAATGCTTTTTTTCTTCATAACTATTTACATTCTATGGTTTCAAATTACATAATCACAAATCACCAACTGGACACCGCATTATAAAAAATAAAAATAAAAATAAAAATAAAAATAAAAACGTTTATTGCCTAATAAAATATACATGTCATTTATTTCATTCATTTTAGCCTTCTTTCTTCTGATGTACCGCTAATGCACCATCTTCTTCTTCTTCTTTTTCAACCTCTCGGCATCCTGGACTTCTCTGGGTGGTTTCCTCGTCTTTTTCTGTAGGTACTCGCAACTTCGCTTACCTACATTTATACAATGTTTTGACGTTGATCCAACTTTTTTGGTTAGGTTCGGGAATCGCGTAGTTCTATGACATTAACAATAATTTACAATTATTTACCTTGACTGTTTTTAATTATAAAAAATTTATTTATTATAAAAAATTATTATTTAAAAATTTTCTTTTACTACCCCATAAGGTTCTACGCTATACTAAAATACAAATTCTACATGCATTTTACGTAATTTTCATGTAATATTTCGTAAATTAGTTTACTTGAATACTAGTTTATAAATTATCAAAACTATCGATCAGTTTTTTATTTACAAAATTTGGAAATATCTATTGCGGCACTAAGAAAATGCAAATTTTACTATATATACACTACGCCCTCCGGCAAACTGTGTAAACAAGTCTTATGAAGACGCTAGGTTGTTGATTTTTTACGTTAAAAGACTATTAGAAGTAAGACACTAATTTTAAGAAATAACTGATATTAAATCTATTAAAGAATTATTTTTTAAAACAAAGCATTGCAGTATTCTTTCTTGCAAATCGTCAATGTACTACCATTTGTAAAAATTGTTCGAAATATTTTTAGGTTAGGTTTTAAAGATTTGTTTTTTTTTTGTACTGTAAATTTATATTAAAAGGTTTTTATTTGTAAATGTTTGTACTTACCGACTTATTAGAATAAATTGTATTTTTGTTTAAAACATACAAAATCAATGCTGTATTTTTATTTTTGTGGTTAAGTAGGAAGTGATGTATACCACAGATATATAATGCAAATATACTGATTGCTGCAATACAGTCGCGTTCCCGGAGCGCGACATAGAAAATTGACGCAAATTAGTCCCTGTATCTTTTTCTAATTTACTAGGTTTATGACTGCTTTTCGTCAGTTTTCTCTGTCGCACTGGGGAACGGGCTGGAATTGCAAAGATCAGTCTATCTTGTCTCATATGTCTA